AAGTACAAAAGTAGCACTGTCAAGAAGAATAATGGAGATTAGCAATAGAAGTTTACTAGTTATTTTGAATTTACCTTAAAACAACTAGTGATAAAACCAAAAACATCCCTGTCTCAGAGCTCACCGCATTAATTACTTTCAACGTTATGTTAAAAGATCACAAATTGTAACAATTCGAAGAAATTCTCTCAAAAATTGAAAAAATTTCCCGCGTTTCCCATAAAGGGGGGAAATCTCCAAAAAAATTACAAATTTTATTTACATGTTTTAATTTGAAATTTATCAATTTTTTTTCGTTAAAACTGCTAAAACTTTTTCAAAAAAAACTAAATTAATATAATTTTTTTTTATAAATGTATAATGTCTTTACCTATAATCTGGTATATTTTTTTATAAGTATGATCTTTTACNACATACATACATACATACATACATACATACATACATACATACATACATACATACATACATACATACATACATACATACATACATACATACATACATACATACATACATACATACATACATACATACATACATACATACATACATACATACATACATACATACATACATACATACATACATACATACATACATACATACATACATACATACATACATACATACATACATACATACATACATACATACATACATACATACATACATACATACATACATACATACATACATACATACATACATACATACATACATACATACATACATACATACATACATACATACATACATACATACATACATACATACATACATACATACATACATACATACATACATACATACATACATACATACATACATACATACATACATACATACATACATACATACATACATACATACATACATACATACATACAGGTGAAACTAATATAAGCGTGTTAAAAATACGATATTTGTAAAAAAATTCTTTTTTTTATATTTTTAACTTTATAATGCTATAACTTTTTGAAAAATGTATAGATCATAATAATTTTTTTTAATAAAATTACTATTTATATTCTTATATTGTGCAACATACTTTTTATTAAATCGGACTATTTCCCTTTATTTCTCTAACATTAAAAATAAGAGTATTTAATAAACGTATTACAATATACTATTTTGCATATTTTAGGTAGTAACACAGAACGAAAATGACAATGAAAATCTCAAAAGTTCTGTAGTTGATTTGAAGAATCAATTTAAAGACGAGAGTAACTATTTAACAAATTATTATAAAAAATCGATATGTTTTTTAATATTTTTGTAATTTTTTAGAAAATAAATTTTGCAGAATTAGTCATGTGCTGATAAAAATATTATTCTACAAGGCAAAATTGAAGAAATCATACTTTGGGNAAAATATTATTCTACAAGGCAAAGTTGAAGAAATCATACTTTGGGGATCGTTACAATTTTTCTTACAATCATAATGTAATATATAAAATTTCAAAATTACATACTCCAAAATCGATATATGAATCTTATTATGAATTTTTTTAACTAATATTTAAAATATTCTAAAATTATAAAAATTGTAATCCCTACATTCAATAATTTATTGTATTTCATTATTATTATTATTATTGCTTAAAGTTTATTTTAATTTAATTTTCAATTTATTGTAGATTCTGTGCCGCTCTTGGTTTATTTGTACTTGTAATTGCTTAAAATAATCCGCCAATCTTATTTGGACAAAAATATAAACGGTATGTCTGTTAAATGCCATAAATTCTTTTTGACATCTATTTTATTTGCATATGCTAATAATATTTTTAAGTCACGTTAAATAAAAAATAATATGGTTTCTTCTTTTTTTTTTGTTCTTAAAACAGTGTTTCAATTAAAAAATTTCATAAAACTGATGCGAATACAAATATTTTAAAAGCTAATGCTAAAATTTAAAATAGACAATAGATTTGAAGTCAAATTCCTTTCCTTTTAGATAAACATATAGCATTATCAAGCATTTTTAATTACCCCCAATCAAAAAATTTTGATTTCTCGGTGTTTTTATTAATGTTCCATTTATTTCACAGTAAAAAGTTCAAAAATTGTAATTTTCATAATTCCAGCCTTTTAATCAAAANAGTTCAAAAATAGTAATTTACATAATTCCAGCCTTTTACTCAAAAGCATTAGTTTTAGTTGCCAACAAGATTTAAATTTCTCATAACAATACTCGATTTTTAACTTAATGACAATAATTGTTTAATTGATTTTTAATTACACAATTGTAATTCTTAATAGTTAGTAAACTGTAAATATTATTTTAATGTGAAATAAAAATATATATTTAAATATTTTAGCTATGTGAAACCTATTAAAATACCCTTAAACCCATTATTGTAACATCTCAGCTTTTGGATATAAGCGACAAAATTGTCGTAACACAAATTAAACACCAAAAGAGGAGGTTGTAGTAGGTAAAGTGTTTATGACAATGATGTTGAGTCTGCCGCCTGGGTATTCACGTGCGTGTGATCATACGACAGTTACATACGCTCAGCTGACACTCCGGATTAGCTGTGGGTGTCAAAAGGCCGCTGTTGTAGGAAGGTAATAAAGGTAACACCTAGGTATAAGGTGCAGATGAAGTGCAAGACATAACTACTATAAAATGTCGAGGATGAGAGTAGGTAGGTTAAAAAAGAAAAATGACTTGAATTAATGCAGTAAGTCGGACAGCAACAACCGAGTACTGAGACTGATAAATGACACGAAGCACTGGAGTCGACTGACCACGATGGGCAGTATTTTTGGGTTTTTATAATAATTCTGACGATTGCAAATTTAGTAATAAAACTAATATTTCAGGGAAAAAAAAGTGTGTACCATCATATATTATTAACTGTGAATAGATCTACTAAACAGAAATAGTTAGGTCACGTCCGGCTTGATGGAGCGATTGGAATAAGTATTTGGTAGACGTTTATGGTTTGGTTGACTAATGATGATAATCGAAGGTTTTTTATTATTAGCAAAATTACGTATATCAGAGAAATTCTTTTTTTAAAATTTGTTTTTTCTTTACTATAGTAAAGAAACATATAACTATAGTTAATCGTTAATTGGTCAAGAAAAAGTAAAAATTTTAATCTTTAATCATATAAAATTTGATTTGTGTTTTAATAAAGTTTTACACTTTGCACAGTAAATTTGAACACTTGATGACATCATAAAAAAAATTGTTTTAAAGTCTAAATTTAAATGTGTCAATACATTAAAATCTAATTTTTTTTTTAAAAATAACATTATTTTAGTTAAATAATTAATATTTGCACTATTTCAGTATAAATTGTAAAACATTATATGTAAAATGACACAGCTAGAATTTTAATAATTGAATAATTTATTTCTAAATTGTTATTTTCTTAAGTAAAATAATCATAGTAATGCATTTGAAAACTATACTAATCTTTTGTTCATTTTGTTTTTTTACCGGAATAATAGTAAGTTTATTCCAACTTTTATTTATTTATTTATTAAACATGATAATTTTATATTTAAAGAGCGTGGGACTTAACGTACGTCAAATAGACCTCTTTGAAAAATTGATAATTAGTTATAAATATGGTGATAATATCAATTTAATACAACATGCATTATTATGTCATGATATCGAAGAGACTTACAATGATTATAACGTTGATGGTAATTTATAATTAATATAATTTTTAGCTTTAGATTTACTGACACGATTTTTTCAATATATCCGCCAATTAATATACTTTGTTTAATTTTAAATTTATTTAGAATATAAAAAATAACTCAACCCAGGAGAGTGGGGTCGCGGCGTAGTGATGACGTGGCATTGTTAGGTCTAGTATATATTTAATCTGGCAGTGATTAAAATCACTATCTATAAAAACGCTTCGATATAAATCTGTAGATAGTGTTTAATTTTAAGAAATTGGTGTATTACTACAAAAGCAACATGATCTCCTATTTCCTTATTTATATCCTTATTATATGTTTTATGATTTATAAGTGTAATATATGTATAAATATTTACTATAGCAATTAAGTATAGTATAAAATTGATATTCAATAATTTAGTAGTGTAATTTTTACGATAAATTAAAAAAAATTATAAAGTAGTTAAAACTTTTATGGCAAACGCATATAAAAATTAAATTTCTTGTTGCAATATTTAAAAAAAAAACCCCAGCACAGGGGGATCGCGGCACAGTGGTGACGTGGCATAGTTGGATCAAGTATAATGATATCTGACAGTGATTAAAATCACTATAAAAAAAAACGCTTCGATGCAAATCTTTAGATAGTGTTTAATTTTAAAAAATTGGTGGATTATTCCAAAAGCTACATGATCTGCTATATTCTTATTAATATCCTGATTCAGATAAAGATATATGTAAGGCATTATTAAAAAATATTATTTCTCATAAAAAAATAATGTTGATCCATACACTTTTCAATAAGTTATATCATTATAAAGTTAAAAATGTAAAAAATAAAATCTAGAATTCTCACACGAATGCTATTATTCGGTAACTATTTTCACCGTGAAGATAAAATAAAGTACGAAATTTTTTTTTTGCATAATAAATTACATTACATTAGCTTTAATTTAAGATATATATAAAAGTGTCAGACTTTCCGGAACACTTTCAAAAGTTAAGTTGAAAAAATTAATTATTTGTAAAAGAGTTGTCATTTTAAATCCCCCCGTGTGGGCACGTAAAAAGGCAGATTTATAAAAAAAATATACCAAATGATAGGTAATGATATCATGCATCTATAAAAAAAATAATTTTATTGATATGTTTATTTTTTAAAAAGTTGCAGCAGTTTTTAGTAAAAAAAATTGAAAAAATTTCGAAAATTAGCGATTTTTAAATTTGTAATTTTTTGGGGGATGTCCCCCGTTTACGGGGAACGAGGGATTTTTTTTCAATTTTTGAGGGTAATGTCTTCAACAAGATACGATTTGTGATCTTTTGACGTATCATTGAAAGAAATCGGAATACTGATACTTTTATAATAAAATATCTTAAAATAAAGCTTCTGTAATATACTTTAATTTAAAAAAAAATAATTTGAACCTGGATTTGTCTTTATGGTTAATAGGACTGCTGTATTAAAAAAATATGATATTTTTGTGAAAAGAATTCTTGATTTTATAATTTTTATTTTAGCTTCCATGCGAAGGTGAGAAAGTTTTACTATGATGTGTTTTTTTTTTTTTTTT